TAGCATGAAAATAAAAAACGGAATGGTAGAAAAATGTACCAGGAACCCCTAAGGGTTATTTATTATTTGAGATAATAATTCATAATAGTGAAAAAGTCTCTCATTATACTGAGACACTAAGTCATTATTTTGAGATAATACGTCATTATTTTGAGAAACTCTCTCATAATAACTTACAGGATCCTTTTTTAATCCCATTGGCGGAAATGAGTTCCCACACAAACAGGTCTACTACTACTACTAGCTAAGTAAACTTAGTGAGCTAATCGTTGTCAGCCGAGCCGCTTTCACTGGATTTGTTTCCACCTATAGGTCGCTTGCACATACAAATAGGACTGACAGTGCTGAAATAAAGTGTAGAAATTGCCTTCAAGCGTGTATTTTAATGTAAATGTGACAATGTCCGTGCATTAACTAGACAGAGCCATCAATCTGAGATGTGACTTTCCCTTCCAACAGAAGTACCCGAGCTAACTAGCGTAAAATGGCTTTAAATCTTTTACCAATGTATATCAGTCAGTCTTAACCGTACTGCACACCACCACTAGCTAAAGACATAATAACATTGCAACTGCTAGCTAACACTACTGCCCATGAATCACGATGTTATTTTGGTGAACGACTCTCTATAGGACAGCTCGCGTTGGCCGGCGTAACGTTTTTAAGCGTGTATCCTTACATTGACAACATATCATGAGCCGTTGTTTTCACCAGTGGAATGTAACAGTACGACCAACATTAGGGGTAAAAAAAGTGAAATTTTAAATGGGAGTTTATGTTATCGTCCTCGCTGTACTGAGCGTCTGGCATCGCGGCTAACGATAGACGTCCCCTTCCCTTGATGTCAAAGGCAGATGCTAACAGACGCCTCGACCTAACTGGACCTACGCTGTAGCAATATTCGCCATAACAACAGAGCCCGTCCATTATCAGCATTAGTCTTCGAACTCACCTTTTGTAATTTTAAGGTCGTTGTTGATTTCTTTTTAAATTGTGCTTTTCTCTCGAATACAAATGTACTTCTGACCATTTACTGTTCCGCAGCAGCCATGTTGGGGAGCGTTAAACCTGGAAGAAGGAGTTGTGTGTTGTGATTGGACGGTGCTAGAGTACTCTGTGTTCTGATTGGCTGAAACCAAAGTGGGCGAAGCTATATTTTCTAAGATTGTTTACGGTTCTATTTTGAAATAGGAAACCTCCAATCTACCCTGAGGAGTAGCTACCAATCCACGATGCTCAGTCATTATAATATTGAGCTATTACGACAATAACTTAATAACGATATATTAGTCATTATATAATATCTATAATTACAACTATTATAAATGTTAATGGTAAGCAGCTGTGACATGAAGTAGGCGCTAGTAGGTTTTCTATAGCCTGTTATTCATCTGTTTTTTCATATTGCAACATCTCCCGAAGTAAACCTTTTACAGCATGAAGAATATTGCATTGTTAAACACAAACAAAAATCCGGAAATCACACGATGACATGATGTTCAGTATGTGATGACATCTGAAATAACGGATTATTAGTTAACTGTACTGTATTTCCTGTTCTACCTGTTGGTCCCATTTGACAATGAATGCATCAGGAAACCCGAGAGGATTTATGGAAAAAATATGAAAAGTTGTTCTCTTAATTAACTTAAAGCGCCAGTGTGTAACATTTAGGAGAATCTATTGGCATACATTGAATATAATATTCATAGGTATGTTTTCATTAACGTGTGATCACCTGAAAATAAGAATTGTGTTTTTTCGTTACCTTAGAATGAGCAGTTTTTACAGCTTTACTGCCTTTCTACAGTAGCCCAGAATGGAACAACCAAACCCTGGTGGCCACTGTAGTTTCTCCTACATGCTTGGAGTGGTATTCAGTTGGTTGCAATGTGTAACTCCACCACTAGATGCTACTAAATCCTCCACACAGGTTTATTATCGCTTTAGGATAATAATTCAACTTTTAATAGCGGACCAGATTCAACTTTTAATAGCGGAACAAATTATTATGAGCATTTTAAATATGAAACACTGAAAAAGCAAAGTTTCCAATGTTATAAAATATAAAATATGGCCCTACCATAAAACAGCCACTTTTGAAATAGAGTTTGGTTTGACAGTGTGGAGCAGAGGGTATTTTAACTGTAATAATTCACATAAACTCAGCTGACCTTTCTTCTAATAGTGAACCCTGTAAACAGCATAAAGTAACACAGGAAGTGGAGATAAAATCCCCCTGTTTTCTACTTCTGTCAGCTCATAGTAAAAAGTTGATTAATAAACACAAATGGCGATTCCCCTTCGCAACAGCAATGGAATTAGTTAACAGTAACGTCACACTGAACAGATGACCAAAACAGAAAAGGTCTTAACGACAGAAACAGTGTCAGCCACCCAAGTACCCAGATAGGTTGCTCTCATCTATGGGCCGAGCAGGAACTCACAGGCAGAGCCAGCAGGAGATGCTGCTGATATTCAGTGGGCTGCATACCTCAGATGTAAACCCCAAAGCTAGAAACTTTTTTGGCTTATGCAACAGGAGAGTAATTCTCATTGGACTGAATACATGCCATCTTTGGGTCCAGTTCTAAATTATACATCCATGTCCAAAAGGCATGAAGTCAGACCTTACCACTGACTGTTCATGGGCCTTGCTGTACAAAAACAACATTTTATAACTTTATTCACAGATTTTTGTGAAATGGTATTTTGGTATTATGGGGCACTAAATTTGATCACCAGACCACAAATGAGCCAAGAATGAAGTCGTAAAAATTATACATAATGGAGCAGAGTGTCTTTGGGGACACTGATTAACTTGCTATACAAAAACAAAACAACTTCACACACAGATTTTGGTGGATCATATTTTATTGAGAGTATTTTCTCTGTTTCCCACTGATGTCCTCTGGCTGCTCTGCCTCAACTTTAAGTGATTTACGCAGTTTCCTTATGGAGTTTATTTACTTGTTGCTAAAGTTGGTGCTAACTGCTGCTATCTGTAGCTGCTGTGAGCTCATTTAACTGTGCAGCTAACGGTCCTTTTAGCAGAGCCCCATTCTATTGCACACTTGCCAGGCTCCAGTTCTGGCTCTGCTTCCCACCAGAATTCCGTTCAGCTTCGCACTGGACCAAAACCCCCCAGAGCTCTTAGTCTGGACAGCAAATTTACAAATCCTACTATGTTGAAGGCATAACCCACTCTACTTTCTCTCTCATTGGCTTACCCTGATATTCTTACCCTAACCCTAACCAATCTCACTACTCACGCATGAACATAACAAACCCAACCAAAGAAGGAAACTCCTAGCCAATCAGAGCATAGAAGGGAAGTCTTTGACATAGAAGGATTCCTAATTAGGTGTCCTGGCAGGACCACTATCTACACGGCTAACTGATGTGGTGCAATGGAGGTGGGGTACTTTTGCATTATTATATTGCTACTTTTACTAAAGCAGGGTCTGAATACTTCTGCTTATTTGTGATTATACTGCCCAAATCTGCAGGCAGGAAAGGCAAAGAGCATCAGTTAATGTATATTAGACTGACTGAATTCAGTTATTACTTTACTTCATTACTATGACAGCAAGTTAAAATGTATGCGACTAAAACCTAAGCAAAAAAAATGAAAGTAAACTATTACTTTTAAGTCTGTGTGTTTGAGTAGGACTGCTGACAGACAATAGTGTCAGCCTCCAGAGAGAGCTCACTGCAGATGAGATAAATAGAGAGAAAGGTAAAATCCCCAGGATGGTGCAAAGAAATTGTTGCCACTGTACTGCCCTCGAGACTCACAATTTGATTACATTTGAATATCTACACACATTTGACTCTTACATAATAAACTTTGGGTTACATCCACTTTAAACTGATGAATGTGCTCGGATATGTTTATGTATGTATGTCTATTATGCAACATGTATGCATTTTTAATAGAATATACATTTTTCATCCATTTTGTTCTGGATCCATTTCTTGTGGTTTGGACTAGGGCCCTCAGATCCAACTAGGAAGACAATTTCTGAAGAATTTGGGGTGTGCTGGATGTTAAAAAGCTGATGCTAAACTGCATACTGGCTTTAAAAAATGTGTGAAAGGTGGAATAATATAAGGTTTGTTGAACAATAATGATGAATGAAAGAAAAATGTGGAATATTTTTACCTTTGTTCAAAAGCTAATGTTGAACTGAGTTGCTAAATTCAGTTTGTATGAAAAAGTCCCTTTCCTGTTTCAACATGACACTGCTCCTGTGCAGTGATTGCAGTGCAGTGAAGCCAGATCCATAAAGAAATGTTTTTTGCAGTTTTGTTGTGGTCTTCTACGGAGTCCACCATGTTGAACCGTCATGTTTCTACAGTAGGACAGTAAGAACAAAACAAACACTGTAGATAGGATCTTTAGCATTACCATAGTTTCTCCTCCACATTTGGAACACATTTGGAACCGGTGGTGGTGGAGGATGTAATCTTCATTGGTCTTAGCTGGACTCAGGACGTGGTACGCCTAGTTTAACATTAAGATTAGAAGCTGGGGGACATAGTTAGCCTATGGTCTGTCCAAAGTTCAAAACTACCAACACCTGAAAACCAAGAAAACAGATTTTAGGTAGTTGTTGCATAAAAAAATATACGTTTAGGTACAACTTTCTTATAAGGCACACATTATAAAGGTTGCAAATAATGGCTTCATTAATGGTTAATATAGCATTTACAATTTCTTTTAGAATTGTTATAAAGAATATGAATGATTGTTGTAAGAACCATACATTTAATGACTAACATTTATATTTGCAGATTACTTTTTCTGTTCGTTTAGTAAAAGTGAAAAACTTTTATTGATGACTTTATTAACATTTGTAACTGCAGACTTGATGGTTTATTAAGAATCTGGACCCAATCACACAAGTATATAATTAGAGCATGTTGATAAGGTTTAAGATATAACAATTAGTAAATTACTGATTAACTCTGAATAAATCCATTAGTTAGGACTTGATTGTACATACCCACAAACACACACAGGAAACTTCTCTCCTCTAACCTTCAGGCTGTGTCTCTGCAGTCCAAACTGCGTCAGTAGAAACTGAGGTCAGGTTGCCTCCACAGTGTAATTTCATTCACTGTATTAATCAATACCTGTCAGCCCCGGCTGGACCTGCTTTCCAACTTTCCAAACATTCCTCATAGTGAGGCTTTAATATGAGTCATGCTTCTGGGAGCAATGAAAGAACAACAAGCATGTAGTATTTTTTATTATTTAATTGGTGTTAAATATATTATTATTTCTATATGGTCGACTTGAAGCTCACCCTGTGTTATTGAAAATAAAATATCAAAAGTGTATCATACTAACTCTGACCTCAAATGAAACAAATTTTGCCTTTCCCTGCATCAGCACCGCAGCATTTATTGTATGGTACATTAAGTACTGTATTAAGTAATTTCCCCCTGGGATTATTAAAGTATTTCTGATTCTGATTCTGATTATGCTATATAGTATAGTGTAGTACACACTATCATGACTATACCACCCAAATAATAACATTTGATGATAATATGGAATAAAGATGATAATCATCAACCAATCCTCATGAATTCTACAAAACTTTCCTATTTTGTCCAATCACTGCAACTTTTCCACAAATTTGACCAATTGCAGTTTCCTGTGAGTTTCACCAATAATAGAACCCCCCTGCTGCAATCCTTTCCTTGCATGGGATCAATAAAGTTGATCTAGTCTTATCTTATATTGTGTCTGTTCACAAAGACAGAGGACATATGTGATTTATTAAATTAAATAGACTGTTTACATCAAATATAGGAAGGACAAGGGAAATGTAGTGAGGGAGGGGTGGATAGAGCTGGGGCAGGAAGGGGAGGAGGGGTTAGGGTAGCTCATGGAAAGAGAAAGACAACACGTATTTCACTTCCAAAGGTCTGAAGTCTTCTGAAATAAGCTCAAGCTTGTCTTTTTTCAACGGCCCTGCTGATGTTTGTCTTTCTCAGTGAGGAGTTTTTCAAGCCGGTTGACTTCTTCTGCCACCTCCCTTCCACTCTCTTCAAACCTCTGGACTCTTTCCACTTATCAACAAAGACTATCGTGCTCTCCATTTCTTTTTTCTGATCCTCAACTTGTCTTCCATTTCTTTCATTTCACCCTCCATCTGTCTCTTCGTGTCCTCCATCCCTCTCTTAAACGCCTGTGCTCAATGAGCAAAGAAGTATATCTTTCTCATATCACCGAGTCAGTCAGAACTCTATTGTTCTTTACCAGAGAGTAGTCATCTGTTCAGAATACTGCAGGGAAATATGTCATATTTACATACAAGTCTGAATAGAAAAGCTACTTTAACTATTAAATAAATCCTTTATTTATTGTATATTAATTTCTGTATAATTTTCTGTATAGCATTAATTAAAATACTGTATACCTGATGTATCAGTTGTTTAAGTTGAAACTTTAGACAAATCTGACCAAAAGATAAAATCCTGGTTTGAACATCTTACCCTGCTAACCCTGCTGTCTCTTCTTACCATGGTGGCTGATGATATTGGAAAAGATCCAAGATTAAGTTAATGAACACAGATATTGTAAAATGTATCTGACAGATGATTTGATGATTGAAGACACAAATGTTTCTCAGTTGAACGTGTCATGAACCTGAAAAGCCTGAAGCAGTTTTAATGATTATATAGTACAAGTAACAGTACAAAATAAATGCAGAATACATCCACAATCATCACATTTTTAAAGGTGACATTTAAAGGCGACATTAACCGTTGTTAATAATGACACCAGTGGCCTGCAGTCAGCATCCTGTTGCACTCTGTACAGTCCGTAGGTGTGAGCATTTATGAGTTATTAGGTGCAATGTTCCAGTATTTTTTATTCGGACCATTGGCTCCATGTTACTAGCTTGCTGTTTACAAATCACCCCATCAGCCAATACCACGGAGCAACCCATGCCAGACCTACACCGTGCAGCCAAGACACAGCCAGCCGGACAACCCCAGCTTAGCTTAGCTACAGTTAGTAAGTTGGATGCCCCTGTCTTACATCACTCTTGGTTAATAGACAGCAATTGTTTGTTTTGTATCGTTCATTGTTGGCCAAAATCAACACCATTTGTCATAATACATAAGTTAGTGTCATGGATCATGTTAGCTGGTAAAGTCATTTTACAAGATAATGTTAGCCAACTAACTTATCCACTCACGTTACTTCTCAGAGTATTTTGCTAGTGATACCATTAGTGAGCAAGCAAGCTAAAGTTACCAAAGTAACCTGCAAAATGGAAAGCTGGTAGATATCAAATTAATAAATAAATATTGAATGAATAATACGTAATTTCATTATTAATTTTCATAAGAATTTTATTAGACATCATTTGGATTTCATTATAGACATTTTCGGTTGAAAATGCCCCTTTTTTATTTCATATTGTCACTTTTGATCACATGGTCGTTACTCCCCCTCTCACCTTTCAGCCTATCACATGTCCCCTGACTAGTGAGCTCAACTGCTACCAAATTAATTTACTTTTAATTTTGAGCAAAAATCTTTTTTGTAATCTAACATACAGTGTGAAGGACTGACAGAGCTGGAGGAATATGAAACTCTTCTCCAAACAGAAGATCAACCTTAACATGTAGGGCTAATTAATCTTACTGTTATAATAGTTATGGTGACATATGTATGTATATATATATATACATAAATATCAGTTGGGTGAAAATTGTATATTATAATTAATATGAATCTGCTGTCAGGCCAATCAACTTGTTTGTGGCATCTGCAAATTAATAACTTATAGGTTATTAGCATTACTAGCGTCATCATAGTGATACGTTTAAAGAATCAGTTGAGCTAGTTGTAAGCTAGTTAACTCTGTATGTAACTGTGCACCAAAAATTGTCTTTTTAATCGATATCTCCTCTTTTCACTTGAGTTTAATAGCTTGCAATACCAACTAGAAGTTAAAGGTCCAGTGTGTAACATTTAGGAGGATCTGTTGGCAGAAGTGG